GAAACGCCTGCCCCAGTGTCTGAGAGCTGTGCAACAGCCAGAGTGCTGCAGGCTGATGTGAGCACAGGGGTAGGGTGGGGGCTTTTTCCATGGATGAATTATGATCCGCAGCTTAGTGTCATCACATTTACTATCTGTTACTGATTCTCTTGTTAGTGCCATTCCTAATGTGGTCATGAGTGTGTTCCTACATTCCTCTGGTACAATACTGAGAAATGTGATGCTCTGTGGTTTTAGTTCCTGTAATGAGAACAAGGCAGTTCTACTCACACACAAAATTTGTAATTATACAAGACTATATCGTGTTACTGGCAACTAATTAGAATTCTCTGTTGAAATGACATTACTTTATTATACATCATTAACATAAAATGTCAAAACTAGCATGATAGTTGCTTTCACATAAAAAATGAGCCTACTTCTGTAAGTGAAAGCAACAAAATTACAGCAATTTTAGTATCAGTGTTTTAATATATATTATAATTTAGGTAGCATGGTCAGAGGTTTTCCCATATAAAAATCACAAAAAGGAAATCCTCCCTTTAAAAAATGTCAGTGACTATCAATTTTGTCCTCTGCATTTATTATGCAGATTAAATAAAATTCAAAAAACATTAAATGTCAAAGGGGGGGAGGTTGAACTTATACTATAAGTTAATATTTTGTTCATATCCTTAGAGCAGAGGGTACACACTACAACTAATTTACTCTCTTCCACCACTGAATAAGTGATGTTATTATCACATTGCATACAATTAAACTGTATTGAATTCCTTCTGGCCAGGCAGTAAGTAAAATGCTGGTGCTGGGATGAGGACACAGGGCTCTTTGGAGCAGGCTGAATATCAGGATATCACATTTATTTCTCATTTACATGCTAGGTTTGAATATTTCTAAATGAGATAATAAGTAGATTTTTCATCAGGGATCTGTAGGATACATTGGTGAAACCAAGCCACAGTTGGCAAGGTACCTACCTGTTCCTTGACAATATTATGATTTTGGTAACATATAAAACTGATGAGAGCGTAGCATTCCCTTGGCAGCACACTAAATATGCCGCAAGACACATAACCAATGAGTATAATTTGCAAATGTGTATGGAGAATCAGTCTTGACAGTTTTGTTTACAAAGGCAGGCAGCTATTTGCTGATAAGAGATATGACATGCTATTCATCTTGCTGCTACTAAGCCAAAGGGATTGCAACTGTGATAACAAACTGTTAGATTTGATTGTTGGAATGCTTATGCAATGTTAGTAATAAAGGGTGTTTAAAAGCATATCTCATTTGTTCTTAGGCAATCATATGGCATTTCTTATAATAATTTTCCTGGGACTCTTAAAAGGACAAGCTAATTAAAGAAAAGATATCTGTCTGGCTCAGCTTTAATGGGTCTGTGTTCTCTAAGTAGGTGTATGTAGGAAACAGGAGCAGACGTGTCTTTATTTCTCTGCTTGCATGGGTTGAGGCAGGATGTCAAGTGACACAGTCACGGCCTCACATCTTTCAGTTCCTTCATTTTGGCTGGTGTTACCTCCACACACCTTCCAAAACTGGAAAATAAACAGTCCTAAAAATAGGACAAGGGTAATGGCTTTAAACTGAAAGAGGGTAGGTTTAGATTAGATAAGGAAGAAATTCTTCACTATGAGGGTGGTGAAACACTGGAACAGGTACCTATCCCTGAAAATTTTCAAGGCCAGGTCGGACTGGGCTCTGAGCAACCTCGTCTACTGGAAGGTGTCCCTGCTTATGGCAGTGGGACTGGAACTGGTTGACCTTAAGGGTCTCTTCCAACATAAACCATTATATGATTCCAAGTAGTGCTGAGACCTTCAAGAAGCTGAGGAGGAGGTTTCTCTCTTGTTTCTCCCTCTTACTGAGCACCAGAAGAATGGGTCAGCATGACTAACACCTTTCCTTTGTCATCAGCCCCCTGCTTCAAACAATACTGAGAAAACACTTTTCCCAGCACTCCTAAATACCTGCACCATTTATAGCCTGAGTAACATGTTGCTCACATGTTTTCTTACAAAGCTTATGATCAAAGTAAAAAACCCTCAAACTTATATAACACTATTCAGAGCAAATACAGGACTAGAGAACCCAGCCATGTTTTTTTGTGAAATATTGCTCACTGAACTTTGTTGAATGTGTGCATGCAACTCAGTAATGTGCACACAAGGGCTGATCCAGCTGTGATGGCTAAAGTAGTGTTTTATCTGGCCAGCTCACTCCCACTTCAGCAGGCACAGCTGAGGTGATGGCTGGGTAGTCTGAGCAGGCAGGCCAGGCTGACCATCAGAGGTCGTGCACATGCCTCACTAATGGATTTAACCAATGCCGGGTACACTAAAATACTTGGTGAGGGGTGTCAGGGGGTAGCTGCTGCAGGTTACAGCTTGTAACCTGTTGTTGTAACAAGCTGAGCTTGTGGTTGACCCCAATTCACACCTCCTGGTCAGGAGACTGGAGAGAATATTTACAAGGGTAAATATTATACACTCTTTCAGGGGTAGGGGCAGCTAGGAAGGCTGCACCACTCAGTACTTGAGTTGCTGTGGCTTATTCAGCCTGAACGCTGCAGCAATTCAGGCAGCAGTTTGCATTTTTTAATGTATTTGAGCATTGCACATAAGTCTACACAAGGAAGACATATCAAAACCCCAAACTTTCCACAGCAGGGATTTTAGAGCTAACAAGTGGAAAATGAGTGGCTTTGTTCTCAGTCATTCTTACAGTTACAGGTGACTTTTGTGAATAGCATATACTGTGCCAAACTAGAACTGAAATCCTCTTTGAATGCAAGCGGGCCTTAGGTTTAGCAGCAGCTGTGAGATGGAGACTTACTATTAATGGCAGATTCAAGCAGCGTGAACAATAACGAGGCTCTGTTTAAGGTGGACACAGCTTGTCTGCATTAGAACTGGACCCTGAGAACCTGCATTAATTAACACAATTTTAAGTGCTGTCAGCTGTTTTTGAGTAAACTAATTGATTAGAGCAATACATGCTTTATTTTTGGTCTTACAAGAATATGGATTTAGGAAGAGAGTTATGATCAATAGGCAGGGTTTTAATTTTTTTTGTCTCAAAACCTTTTGAAAGTTGTGAAATATTTTTATGGACTGAGAGGATTAATGCATTTTTTAATAATCTGTTATTTGGAAAGCACAAAGAAGAAATCAGTCTGGAATGTGATAATTTTATGTTCATTTCCAGGGGTTCTTGACTTAGTTCCAGACAACACAATTTCTTATGCACAATTTTTACTCCTATTTAGCAGCCTTACTGAACAAGTTTAATTGGGTACATGCATGTTTAAAAAATTAGTTTCCTGTCTTAGATATGATTTATAAATCCAGGGTTATAGTGTTTTAAAATACAAAGGTTTGTGTAGGAGGACAATAATTTAATGCACCGTTAAGTGTCATCTTAGGGCCAGGGTGCTGGTTTCATTAAAGGGATCTGGCATGTGACAAAGTCCATGGGTGTTCGTGATGAGCTCAAGGCTGCAGCTCGCCTTGCAGTGGGAGGACCTCTCACCACTGCTTCAAGGGGTTGGTCATCTGTCTGAGGCACTAGTCTTGACAGTGAGAACAAAGATCCTATTTTAGTAGCTATATTAAAAGGTGAGGCATTAATTGTATTATTCCATACTTCTTCCCAGAGGCAGCAGCTGCACAGTGTGGCATAATTTAATAAAGCTGTTCATCAACTGATTCCTAGGTGTGAAAAACTTACCAGGTAGTAGTGTAAGGAACAACTCCATAGTTCTTGTTTTGTGAGAAAGGGCACAACAGAACTGCTATATACACGCCTAGGCTTTAGCAAATGTCTGCATATTGATCTGAAGTTAAAATATTAATAAGCCTCTGTTTTGACTAGGAATTGGGACATTTTCTGGACAGAACAGGTCATCTAATTTCACATGACAGTTGCATTTACTTACTCCTCCCCTTACTACGTACATCCAGCCTAAAGAATGAAGGGCACAATGCACATCCTGTAAAAGTTGGCCACAAGAGGTGGGATGCCTGTGGATTGGACATGTGACAAATGACTATGCCATTGTGTGGCAGAGGCTCCATTCAGCACACGCTGCAGGGCTGATGGTTGGCTTCTGGCCCTAGTGCATAATGCAGCAAGCAGATCTCAGCAGCACCTAGGATGTATCTTACACCTCTAGCACACTGGCTGAATTTAAGGCTGACTGATGTCTTAGGCAGGCTTCTTCATGCTTACTACACTGTTTTGCATTTTCAGACTTTTTACCCCCAAACACATGATTTTTAAATTTTAAGATAAAACAAAAAATTATTCCCTCCACAACACAGCTACAGGAGTAAAGGTTCAAATTCACATACTTTTCATTCCCTTTTTCTGATGCAGCTATGCTAACACGTGCAGGAAGCAGAAGGTCTGTGTGGGTAATGCAGAAAAGCTCACATGCCATGGGTTCCCCTCCTTCCTCACATACCATGCACCATGCAGAAAATCTTCTAGCTAATTAGCTAGGGAACTGATAAATGATCTGCTTCTTTGAAGCACAAAAATGCAACATGGCCTAGTACTAAACCTGAGGAGCTGGCTGAGCGTCTAAAGCCCTGTGCTACTCTGCCCCTCAGTCTGGGAAGCAGAACTCTACATAGTGAGAACTCCCAGGTGGGATCTTTTAACTGCTGGGGCTTAATGAACATTATGTGAAAAGAGCTTTTAAAAGAGGCTGCTTAGACTTTACTCCTGGTTGTAACAACCTTAGGGTAGTCTACTTTTGTTGCTGCCTTCTTAAGAGTCCACTTGTGGATATACAATGACTGCTCATTCCACCTCTATGCAAAGGACTAAAGTCTAACTATCCTTCAGAAAGACTTCAGAGAAGTGTATTTCTGTCCGTTTCTTCTAAGTTAGATGCAAATGAGGGGAAATTCTCCCACTTCTACTGTTTTAACTGGAGTGACAGGACTGCATGTGTTAACCTCAGGTACCTGAACGGAATGACTAAATCAGTAAGCTTGAAGGAGATTTATAGGATGAGCACTAAAATACGGTGAAAAAGAAAGAAAGAAAAAAAAGCTTTGAGAAAGGTACTCTTTGATCTACATATGGTAGGTACATATTGATATACATGTCCATGTTAATTGGACATGTAGATCAATATAAGTAGCTACGTTTGAAAGATCTGTGACCTACCACAGACAATGGGGCAAAGGTATATCTGAAATTCGTTTTCCAATGCTTCTTGGTTGCTGCCAAGCACAGAATACTAAGATACCAATCTTCGCGATGCCATCTACCCTGAGCAATAAAAAACCCACCCTTAATTTAACGCGAGTCACCAGTCAGCTCCTGAGGCACAAACAGGCAGCTGAAGCACCGCGCGTAGGCTGACTTTAGTGCTGGATGCCGAGCGGCGTTTGGCACAGGTGGAGGAGTTTTCATCACAGACCCAAATTAACTCCGGTGAAGTTGTTCCGCGCCTGCCAGAGCCGGAGGAACAATCTCCGTGTGGGAGAAGCGCCCAGCGCGCCGCCCGCCGCCCTCCCCTCCCGGCGCCGCTCGGCCGAACAAAGGCGGCAGCAGCGGCGGGTCCCCTTTGTGCTCCGCGGGCCGGGCAAGGGGCGAGCCCAGCGCCCGCCCCGGGCTCCCCGCCCGGCCAGCCCGACCCGGCCCGGTTCGGCACGGCAGCGGCTCGGGAGGAAGCGCTGGCTGCGCGGCGGGCGGGCGGCTGCCAGCGGCCCGGGCCCTCCCCGCCCCCGTCTCCTCCCCTCCGCCGCCGATCCTCCGCCCCCTCCGCCTTCTCCTCGCGGCGGCGGCGGCGGCGGCTCCCTCGGCCCCGGCTCCTCGCTGTTCTCCGCGGCTTCGCCTCGCTCCTCTCCGGGGGCTCCCGCGCCGCGCTGCCCAGGACGGTAAGGGCGAGGCGCGGTGCCGGCTCGGGGCCGAAAGTGGCTCTGTCCCGCGGCTCCCCCGCTGGCTTGGGGCGGCCCCGGGAGCGGGGGCGGGCGGGACCCCGCACTGCCTGCCCCGGCGGGTGTCTGGCGAAGGGGCTGCAGCGGGACTGGGGCGCCGCGCTGCCCCGGGGCCGGGCGGGGGGCTCGCCCCAGCCGGGGGCTGCAGCAGGAGCCGCCCAGCCCAGCCACGCTGCCGGGGGTCGGCGGGCGGGCGGCTCCCGGCGGGGACGGAGCGCAGCCCCGCGGGGTGGGTGCCGCGGGTGGTGCCCCAGCGGCCGAGCCGGCTTCGCCCCCGCCTGCGGCGCGGCGGCTCCGACCCCCAGCCCGCGAGCGGGTTCGCGGCGGAGCGGGTAGGGCGGTTTGGCTTGTCTGAAATGCCTCGCTAAATGGCAGGGGAAAGCATACGGCCCAGGAGAAAGCCGCTGGAAGTGATAGCTGTTGGACTCCTCCGAGTTATTTCCCCGAGTCGGTGCGTAGTGAGAACTTCCTCCCGGGATGCCCTTTCGGGGGGATGCGGGGCTGAGCACATGGCTGCCTCCCCTGGGTCTGCCCCGCGTCTGTCACAGCACCGCCTGCCAAGGGGCCTGCCGGCGCCTGCTCTCCTTTCGAAGTGCTAATCTGACCCCAAGAAAACTTTAGCTGGGCGAGGGAAGGAGGCTGCTCCAAAAGGTAATTTACTTAAACGTGTTGGGTTTTTTCCCTGCTCGTCTTCCTTCCCTCGCTCAGGCCAGGCATCTGGCCTGAAAAAGGGGGGAAAGCAATGGGATTATCTGTGTCTAAGGGTCCAATACGTATGGCCGCTGATAGTGCAGAGAAGGTTAAAACTTGCAAAGACTTGGTACTGGCAAATTAACATCTCCAGTGAATCGTAGTGTTAACTTTTTAAGCTTGAATTTTATGATCCTTTGCATGTTGATTGTCCCTCGTGTTTAAAGTCTCTAGATACTCAGGTATTTAAGGATGAAACATATTCTTTGTGCTTGCAATGACAATGTTTTTGCATTTTGTAAACATCAGGACAACTTTTATCTTTAATGTAGATCCTTTTATCGCTCAGCTGTACTGAACTGTACTAAACACTTGTAGTGTTTGTAAATCTGGTGCTGATTTGTTGGGTGGCTTTGCAAAGGTCGTTTCAGTTCATCCAATACAGGCATTTTTTGTAAAACGCCTGTATTGATTTAATGTGGTACAGGGTCAGACTTGGCATTTATAAATTAGTTCACATTTGTTCTTGTGTGCTATAAGAGCTATGCTTTATAAAGCAACTATTCCTTAGTTGTTCCTTAAAGCCTACTGGCACATCTTGGTGTGTGGTGTACAGGAGGTATGCAGCTTTATGGGCATCTAATGTTAAGTGTCCTACTTATTTAAAAATGTTGAGAGCTCTAAAAGGGTCAGTGTAATCCATACCACACGTGTGCTCAACTGACCTAGAATTAACAGGATAAAACACTTTTAAGCGCTTCTGGAGTGAAAGGTAGGATGCTGTTTCCTCGTGCATGGCTAACAATGATGTGCTTTTTCAAGGTGTCCAGTGCCATGCTCCCCCATTTGGAGGATGGCAGAACACCCACCCTGCTGCTTGGCTTAAACTGATGACACTGGTCCTGAGAGCAGAAGGCAGCAGCAGCCTGGAGGTGCTCCTCAGGGACATGAACATGATGGTGTTGGTGACCAAGGGAGGTGGATGCAGGGACCATCATCAATCCTGCATGGACGCTGGGCAGCCGTTGCCAGGCTGTTGGAGCTGGCAGAGCTGTGTGCCCTCTCAGGGCCCCTGTTTGTGTGGGTTGTTGGTAACTTAGCATGTCAGTTGATGTTTCGTGCTGTGGTACCGAGTTTCCCCTCTGGCTCTCAGGAGGCAGCAGGCAGGTGCCTGTGCGCTGCCGTGTAGGTGCAGGCATACCGGGAGCGTGGTGCTAAGTGTGATTTACTGCCTCGATGGGACTGATAGCCTGTGCCAGCAAGTTCACTCTGCTGCACAGAAGGCCTGGACTGCCTTTGTGCCAGTGCATCCGTGTTAAGCAAATTGTATCACAAGCAGAGGGAAAACATGTTTTCCAGGTTCTTGTGGAGATCATTTACTGTCAGTTTGCTAAAGAGGCTCTTTCTGTGTTGTGTTGTAGTGGTTGGCCACCTGCACCCTCCTTGTCTGCCCCTCTTAGGCTTGTGGTGACCATGCCAAAGATCCAGTTGTTGCTGCACTTAATATAGGTGCAGTCTTCCACTGGATAGGAGATGGTGTTCGGCTAAAGGTTCATGCTTCTGTTTCAAAATCTGGAGGTCTGAGGTTGATTTACTGAGGCAGAACGGAATCAAATTGTAGGATGCAACTTTGGAAATATGTTTTGATTGCTCAGAGCTACAGAGCTCATTTTGGATAGTGCTAGTGTATAAAGGGAAGGTGTTTCTCAAATGTGCTTTTGTAAGTATGTTTCCCAGTGCTGACTAGTTAAGTTAGAAGTCAGTACACTGAATTATCATAGGGTAGATTTTGGCCATTAATTGTAGTGGAATGCAGAGTAAATGAAGGCTTCTGTTTACAGCCTGCCCAGAACTAGAGGGTGTATCTTTAAATTCTGGAACATCTCTGGTCTCTCACTGGCTAACAGTATGTCTTGTTTTCTGCTGCTAGATTATGTCTCCCTTTCATAAGGCCTTAAGCACATGTGCTGATCAGCCACAAGTTAATAATTTTGAATTAAACTGAAGAGTAAGTACATGCCAACTACAAAGTGTTTTTCTTTCAAGGAAGCTTTATTTTAGTAGGGCAAATTCTGAGAAGTTAGAAGAACTAGTTTGTGTTGTCCATGGAGCTAAAGGCCTGTAGGAGTTGGAGGTTTAAATTAAAAAAAAAAAAAAAGCTTGGACTGTCTTAAGTGTAAGGTACAATAGCTGCTTGGAAACTGCATTTTAAGGAGAAAGAAAAGCTTGCCAAGTTGGGCTGTGGACCTTGCTGTGAGAATAAGATACTGCAAGTTACCAGAAAATCTAAAAGGAATGAAGTAAAGGAGGGAATTGATTGTTGGAGAGCAGAAACTGCAGGGATAGCATGTGAACTGCCAAAAGCTAGAGGATGAAGAAATTTAAGATGAAGGGGAGGGGGAAAAAAGGAAAAAGAGCAGAAGAGAATTTGGCTGTGATGTTGTGAGGACCAGGCAGTATGAAAAATGCTTGATGCCTCTAAAATTAGCACTTCTTGTTTTAGTTGTTTAGTTTTAGATATGCATGAGGATTTGAATATGGGAGAAAGATAGGGTGCCAAATGGAAATGACTGGAATAAATGTCTTATGTCTGCTCCCAGTCAAACTGAGTCTAAGGGTCTCTGCTTTTGTTCTCTGAAAGAGCTGGGGCAGGGCACTGGAGCCAGGTTAAAAAATAGAATTATGTGTTTTCGGTTAGGCTGAAGGTAGCAGTTGTGATAGCAAGATAGCAAAATATGTATAGTTCCATTTATTTTAAAAGGAGAGGAGAAGGGTATCTTCACACCTTTTGTCACTCTGGTGACAATAGAATTTAAGGATTTAGAATAAATTTGGAATGGAAAAAATAATTAAGTATACAAAGCTAAGTGGAAAACAGGATAAACAGCTTCATGTATTTGCCACAATTAGGTCATGGGAGACTAAAGTCATATTATTACTGGTAAAATACTGAATGTCCTACACAATAGGAGTGGAAGACTTCAGTTCCATGTAATACACCAAAAATAACTAAACTGAAAGTGTGTGGCTTAGCTAAAGGTGTCTCCTGAAGGAGAAATTATGAGTTTGCCTGCCTGAACAAAGGAATTATTCATGCCCTGCATCCCGTATTAGTGGGGAACTGGTCTCTTTACTTCACCATACTGGCTGAAATAACTGTGTGAGAAGGAAAATTGCTGATGAGGCAAAGTTGGGAAATGCAGTCAGCACCTAAGTGGGTTGGATTATTGCACAGGAAGAATTGAATGTCTGTGATGACTGAAACAATAGGAATGTCAGGAAGTTGAATAGCTCTAAAAGCAAAGTTATCTACTGTCTGATTATTAACAACACATCTGCTATCAACTGGCAAGTCATCCCTTAAAACAGGTTTGGAGGGAAAGGCCTGACGGTCATAGTCAAATGGGGATGACTCCTATTTGATACTGACCATGAAATGGGAGCAAACGTGATGCTCTGGAAGAGCTCTTCAGTGAAGATAGACAAGTTATTAGGCAAGGCATTAGGGTGACTTTGTGTCAAATACTGTACATAGTTCTGGGCACTTATGTACAGAAAATATTAAATCCTAGTGGAACATGTAGATGGGCATCCAAACTACAAAGATCATGTACTGTGAACAGTCTGGAGTTAGATGAGAGACCAAAACTTGAACTACTCCGGCTTATGTGTCTTAGTAATGGCAGAGATGGGAGATAGCAGCTGCTTAGAAATTCCCTGGGGCAAATTCTTGGAGGAAAGGAAGGGTCATTAACTGAAGATTCGTCTGTGATTTTGGGTTAAACACTTGATGTACAGAAGGGTAATTTGATGGATGAATACAGGAATAATGCATGTGGGGAATTTGAAAGGAGTTTCCTTACTGTCAGATTTTGGATGCCTTCCTAGCTTTATGTATCCTGAGTTCCAGCTAAGTATCGAAGTTTGCATGTGACTGTTCAGGAATGGAGCAGTTCAGGTAACTGAAATTGCCATATTTTATGCTTTGGTGTTCAGAGTTAATCAACAGAAATAGAAGTCACTTCAGTAAAGGAGGTGTGATGAGCAGAAGCACTTATTTTTGGGGAGCATGTGTTGTCTAGTCACATGATGGTGGATGGAATTTATAACAAGTAAAAACACTTATCTATGACATTAGTAGCTATTTTGTTCTCTTTTTAGTGCATAATGGAGTGGAATGAAGCTTAACTCATAAAATATTTAAGATAACCACAAATTAATATGTGTGGGACAGAAAATGCATAAATGGA